ACCGCGATGTCGGGCTCAAGTACTGGGAGGCCATACACACCTGGGTGAAGGAGTACCTCGACGTGAGTCAGTCCCACCTCACGTGCAGCCACGAAGTGTCTGCTTACGTGTTGTATGCGTGAAGGAGGCCAGCTACTTGACCACTTTTAATGGTTTTGTCAGCTACCGGTTTGATATGACAACGCTTCTCACCCCGTACCCCCATCCTGGAATGCACCCGAAGCTCTGGATGAAACTCGTTCTATGATATTCACCACTTTGAAATGGAATGCTGGTATGGTGTAATCGTTGTTCCCGTTCGCAGGTGTCAGGTTAGTAGGTGCTTGCGCCAACGGCTGCACAAAGTCGTGGTGCCTGAAGGCATGGTTTATTTGCTACGGGGCTCCCTTGCATGTTGCTACCTGCAACAGCAGGTTGCGTTCCCTTGCTTTTCTTGGTGTACAGACATGTCTTCAAATATGCTTCAGTCTAAGTACGGTCCCTTCGTAAACTACGACCTATTTTTCTGTGGCTGGTCAGGTGTACTACAGTTCCGACGTCGACATCAGCGATGACTACGAACTGCAGGTCAGGCTTGAGAACCTTCCTCCTTTGTCATTGTGCGCGCTGCCGGTTCGATCTACTGAAGCCTTTACCTTCATTTCGTACTCGTCCGGCTATGCCGTTAGCCAGCTCGGCAGCCTTCGCACTCGTTTCATTCGTTCGCTCTGAGGCTGTCGTCAAAATAGTTTCGTAATGGGGTCTTGGGGGCGAGCTTGGAGGGTACGACTGCCACAAGAGGAAACCGACCAGATTCAGTGATGATTGCTCGAACCCATACATTGGTCGATGTACGACTACACTTGGTTCGATTCGAAGTGGTTGGAGGGTTGTCGGCGCCCTCCGGTTTCGTGGTACGCAAAGCGAAGATCGACACAAGATGAATTCCTATCGACATGCTTGCGATCCCGTTCGACCAAGGCCACACTACCGTTCACCACCTATTGGCAGTCAACGTGTTGGCTCAGTCGAGTGTATTGGCATCCGACTAACCCCGGCATCGTGCAGGCGTTCGTGAAGGAGCTCGTTACCGTGGGAGAGGTGAAATGGCTTGCGGAATTGGAAAATTCCACGGACCAGAAAGTCTTCCTCGCTAAGGTTCGTTGTTGTTGTTGTTGTTGTTGTTGTTGTTGTTGTTCTTTTCACGTTCATTCAACAGCCCGACCTCACCTCTGCCGAGGGTGACTACAGTGTGATTCCTGGCAGTGTACACAGGTCAACTACGACTCGTCAGAGTGGTTCACTCTTGCCACGCGGCTTGACTTTGTCGCTGAGTGCCTCCGGAAGACAAGTAACAAGCCAGGCCTAGGTTGGTACGGGAGTAGTGCCCCAAGTCACGGATCTTTTCTTCCAGAAGGGGGCATCTACCTTGAGACGAACAATCGTACAAGATAGAGTTGAGCTCTTTGCGGTGAGGATGGTTACGCTCGTTCTTTGTGTTTGTTTCCCACCACTGTCTTGTGTTCATCTTTGAATGTATGGTGAGTACCCTCAAGTTCACAAGAGCAGTTGGCTGTTTGGCAGTGGTGGGGTGAACTTTTGTAGAATATGTTCCTGATGTTCCTGACGAGAAGCGATCGCTTGGTCATTGCATGCCTTTTCAAGTGGGAACCGTGCCATGCTTGGAGGGACGTGGCAACGAGGAGAGGTGCGGATCAACTGGGCCACAAGAGGATAACGTTGGGAAAGCGGTTGTCCTGGCCACATGCCGGGTGACGGCATGAAAGGTAGCAGAGGACCTTCCCTGGCCATCAAGTTTCACGGTGTACCGTTTTCCGGCACCAGGTGGTGCTGCGCATGTTCCATTCTACCCTGTCCCAGGACGGAGTCATGAACCCTCTTGCACGAGGTTGAATCCTGTGTCTGGCCACTACTAACTCCTCTCGTGGCTCCGATCGGGCTATTAAGGTCATTCCCTTGTGATTTTCTGTCCGACCTATACCTATATCGTAGGTATTGGCGAGTCTGATCTACTCGGCGAGCGTCCTGCACGCCGCGGTCAACTTCCCTCAGCAGCCCATCATGTCGTTCGTGCCCAGCAACCCCCCTTCGATCTACGTGCCACCCCCCACTGACAAGGTGAGCGTTCGCGGAAAATGTCCGTGTTTCGTCTTCGAATTGGCATCGCAGGGGGGGGACTGGGATCGGTTTCTCGATCAAATATGAAGGCACAGATCTACCGCAATATTGACTCACGCATGTTCCCCCTGACGATGACCATGACGACTTGCTTCCAGACGGAGAGGAGCTTCGAAGAGTACCTGGCCTATCTCCCACCCCTCGAGATTGCAGCGGAACAGGTCGTGACCGGCAACATTCTCGGCACTGTTTTCCACACCAAGTGAGCCCCAACCACGACGAAGCCAACGTGAATCGTGAACAACATGGTTGCATTTCAGCCTTTTTCTCACCATGATGCATGGCTCAGCCTCGATATTGCTGGCCGTTGTGCTGCTCGATTGATGTGTGGTCGAATAGTTTTCGTCTGTTTTTCGTTTCAAGATCTTAGCGTCCTCCGTCCGTCTATTTAGATATTTGGAAATATTTTCGATACTCATGCCGTGGGAGTGTGGATCAGTTCTGGACCCCGAAATAAACCAGGTTCTGGTGGCACTGTTGGTCATTTTTCATATCCCATGTTTATTGCTGCTTCACGGGGTGCGCGTGTACAATTACGACATATCGATAGTCGGGTGGCGTCACCATCGTTCATGTCGAGCCTACCGCTAACAGTCGCAATCAGCTGAGGGACAAAGACGGTGGTGTTCCATTTGCACTCCAACGAGTTTTAGCATAACACCAGAACTCGTTGGAGAGGGTTGGTTCAGCTGCGAAGCGCGGGCTGACACACAGGAGTCGATTGGTTTCGTCGTCCGCTGTAACACAACGTGCGATCCTCGCCACTTCCCAGTTTTCTGCCTTTTTGCTGTTTCTATGTGTGCGAGTTTTGCAACTTGGAACCTCTTGTCATTTCTCCTGTGGGGAACAAAATGTTCAGGCTGGGCGACTACGACGCGAACCAGTTCAGCGACAAACGTGTCCAGGCCCCCCTCGCTAAGTTCCAGCAGGCCATCGAGGACATCGAAACCGACATGGTTAACGAGTAAGTCAGGTTGCCTGAACACGAAACGCAACGTTCCACTGCCGCTGCTAAGTGTTGTTCTGAATGCTGCCGAAACGTGCGCGTTGGTGTGTGGATTTCAGTTTACCACGGTAGAAGACGGGACGACTCTATTTCGACGTTCAGCAGTAGCGGGAGTAACCGTGTAACCACGTAGGTCTTTGCGCCACCTTTCATCGCGTCTCTTCTCATTTTTGTTTTTGGGCGGTAGGCTGTTATTTCTCAGCTCTCTCCTCGCGCCATCAAATCCGTTCGCCTGTCTTCATTGATGTGTGAATTCGAAACTCGTGACTGTAGATACCGTGAGTGTTGCTTAAGCGATTGTATCATTCCATCATGGGGTCTTCAAGGTTGAAAATCCTGCCAAACGCTACAGGGGAAGGCAGCTTGCTGTCGACGGTATAGTATCCTTGTTATTTTTTGTTCATGGCGAGAAACAGTTGTTCCCTTTCATAAACCAATGCCTGACAGGAATGCTTTCGTTGTGTCTTCCTGGCGCAAGAGAGGCAAGGGCAAGAAAGCCGCCGCCAACTTCGGGTACACGACGCTGCTTCCCGACAAGGTCCCGCAGTCCATCAACATATAGAATTGTGTATGCTTCAGCGGTGTGTAGATGTGCGGGTTACGTGTGGTTGCCTTTGATGTGAGTTGCTTGTTCAAGGGTTGACGATGCGGTCTACATGTAGATCGCATCGCGTCGTTGTCAATAATATGCGCGAAACATGTCCGTGTACACAGGTTTGTATTTGTTGATAGAACGTCACGTGGGGTTCCTCGGTCGCGTTTGCGTTGGGTGTCTTGGTTGAATCAAAGAAACATACCCGAATTGCTGGATGGTAAGGTAGTAAGTGAAATCCTGTTGGTTTTACATGTGGGTAGCTTGTTAGGACACGGGAGAAGGTGAAGTTTCACAGCAAACAATTGTCAGCAAGAGAGCAGCTCTGTGCAACGTGTTCGTTCTGGCGTTCGTTACGGTGTGCCGTGGTTTCGTTTGGTCTTGCACCCTGGGGTCGCAGGTACCAGGCGAGTCAAGATTTTTTTCATATATGGCAGTGAGAGGGTGGTACAAAATGACACGGGCGACCTTCAGACGTGCCTGGCTCGCGCGGCTATGGCGGAGTGCATTGCTGCCTCTCCATGTTGATTTTCGATTTGGCTACCGACCTTACTACAAAAGACTAACCAGCCGACGGTAGCCGGGGAACTCCGCTGTCATCTTTCCTCCGCACGAATAAACCGTAACCACCGCTTGTTGTCCGGTCGCACCTTCGGCTAGAGCGGGTTACGCACCCACTTCACGATGCATTGGTGGTTAGAGAGTTGGATAGTGAATCTCTTGCGGGCACTACCTATCGTGGACGACGCCGAAGATTGGCGTCTGGAAAACCGAGTCGGCCGCAACATTGACAATGACTGGGCCGACGACAATGAGCGCTTCCGCAAGCAAAAGGTGTAGCTCTTAGTTTGGTCTGGGAGGGTTTACAACAATGACGTCGGGCTGCGAACAGAGGGAGAACAAAGTCGGCACGACCCCGTCCCTGCAGAGCTTCCGACCCCCAACGACTGAGAAAGGATCGAACCCCCCCCCGACAAAACAGTAGTGAAGACGTCGGCACACAAGTAGGTACCACGGCCTCGCGCAACTTTCTTGGATTCGCAAGTTGTATCATAATCTTTGCAACGTTCTCCTAAACACGAGGGCGCACCGCGCCGAATAAATCAGAGCGCGAAGGTCAATGGATAAGGGCCTTTATCAACAACAAAAAAAACCACGGAATATTTCACGGAACCGTTTGGTCTTGAACACATATGGAGGTGTTTTTCCCCGAAAACGTGAAAAAGAGGGAGCCGGGATTTTTCGGGGCTTGCTCCTTTCACGGTTCCGGGGAAAAACGCCCCGCTTTTTCCGGGCAGCCGAAGCAGACACCGGTCACGCGTGCTGCCTTCATCACACCACACCTAGACAGCGCCAACAACACCCCAGAGTGCTTCCCACGGCAAGTCGACCACCATGGCTGGGCGCGGGAAGCGCCAGGATCCCAAGGACCCCGCAGCGCAACGCAGGGAAAGCGCCGTCGAGGAGCTGTCGACGAGGAGAATGTATCCCAGGAAGACAAGAGATTCATTAACGGTCCTGGGTCTTCTGAGGGCCGTCGTAGTGGCGGCGGGCGTCGTGGCAGCAGGAGAAGCTCATCGTGCCCACTGCCCTCAGGAACGGCAGCCCATCTACGAGCCCAAGCGACTTCCGTAGGCCCAACACGAGGCGGACCTCGATCAATGGCACGGCTGACGGGTCGTACCGCATTGAGAAAGGCAGTTTCCACTAGCTCTTGGAGCTACTCCGCCCTTCCCTGAAAATCAACGCCTACTTCGGCGGTGAGTGTTGATGTGTAGAGCAGCGCTCACGGCACGTATGCGTAAGGCTCCCTCTGGTGTTCATATATGTAGATCCGGGGACGAGCAACTCAAAACCAAGGGAGAAACGATATTATTACAGCTGTAGAATACTTTACTGCTGTAGTCTATGTTCCTGCTGTCTCTTTCAAAAATAAAAACTCGCTCGTCGAAGTAGCAGCACCATGCAGGAACATACAGCAGTGCCGCAGCATATCTACAGCAGAACTGCTGTAGTACGCATATTGTACAGCAGCAGTCATTGTACTAAGTATGAGAACAACGCTGAGGTACTATTTGGGACGCTGACTACCGTACAGCAGTAATAATAGTTAATTGTAATACACACCGGCACCACCAAATTAAAATATATGCCTTGTCGGGAGCCAATGCAAAATGTAGTATCCCGCAATGACACAACAGCATTCGACACTGCTCCTCATGTGCAAGATATTGTGTGTGTGTAGGTGATAAAAACAGAGCCGTCTCAGGACCGTAGTCGGGAGGTGGACTGGGCCGGCAATCTGACGAGTTTGTCGAGAACATGCTTCCCCCGTCATAGGTTGCTAATTAGGTGCTGGCGATTGCAAACATGCCCCCTCTGACACTCGTGTGACCGGCAAAAATTATCTGTGCGTCGCTCGGAAACCCCACAGCACCGCGATCGCCACGCAACGGCGCCATAGCTGTGGAAGTTCGCGTTGCCGTGGCGTTGAGGATTCTGGCTGGCGCCAGTTTCTGGGATATCACCCTCATGTTTGGCTTGGCGGTGCCGGTCACGTACCAGATCTTGTGGGATGTTGGGTAAACCGGGTAGGCCGAAGCTTGAAGGTTTGTGGAGAAAGGCAGCTCGGCCAGTGAGGGCCGAGATGAGAAAGTCTTGTTTTAGCAGGGAGAGGGCACAGCAGAGAACACTTGTGTCCGAGGACCCGAAGAGAAAAGCAGAACACTCATCCATCACGCAATTCAGATCACTCATCGAATCTCCGAGAAAACAAGTAGAAACTCCCTGTTCCTCCGCAATCTACCAATTGCAATCTCCGTAGATCCATGTCCCATATTCAACCATCTTTACCATGCTACGAGTATATCTAAACAGCCCCCCTGCTCGTATGCATCGTAATGATGATACGGCAAGTTAATATTATTCCATTTACGACCCATAACGTGGATCCTACTCCTCCATGACAAACAAATAACCAAGGACTCGATTATGCAAACGTTCCTGAACCCACACCGTCTGGTCTCATCGCCTTCATTCCTTCTCTGCAAAACGCTCTTGTTCTGGTCCATCCTTTCTCAGCACTTCGCCGCAACGACACCCGCAAAGTACTTATGTCCTCCGCACATCTCAAAGCATTAAACAATCCATTGAACCAAACCTATAGTCTATGTGGAACTCCTCTTCATTTACTTTCCAAACACGGATCAACTCGTAGAGAATCGCCTTCTTCGTTCTGGGTCTGATTACATCCATCCGACTACGAATCCTACCAAGACAAAACAAACTTTCACATAGAACAAGCGTACGCGTTTCATGCCCAATTCGCAGGTAAAATGCTTCTAGGCATGGTATGAATCCACTATACGCACTTTTCCGACCAAACAACACACATCCCCAAACATTCGTTCAGCGTTGAGATCATTTGAGCAGAAAATACGCGAGTATTTTTCCTACTGTATTGTTTCTCTCTAGAAACTTCGCACCAGCTACCGCGAATTCCTTCCCAAAGAACAACGTGCCCCCCTGCTCTGGGAGATTCGCCCCCCTGATTTTAGAAGGGGTCGGAGATCTGAACCACAGCCCAAAACAACAACATTCAATATTCGTCCAGTCGAAACCCAAGAAAAACAATCCTGCTGCAAATAAATCCCGACGAAACACCAAAACCAAATCAAATCCAATGCCGAAACAACGTTCGCCAATCCGAATGACAGAAACCAATCCAATACCAAGGCCAAAATCCAATCCATCGCATCAAAACAAAACATTCGAAAATCCTCCAATTCCATACCAAAACAGGAACACTCGAAACCCCTACATTTGCCGGCGCATCAACCTCCAGCGCTTATCCCATTGCCAGAGCCATTGTTTCTATCCCCCCCAGCGGATATTTCGCACGCCTTCGTCGCGGTCGCCTTTCGCCTTTCATCTTGTCCGGCTGGCCGCGACTCGAGCTTGGATGATTGCGTCCGCCTGGAGTGGGGGAATAACAGTTGTCGCTCCTGGAGGATTGACTCGGCGGTGGTGCAGGGCAGGTCGCGCGTTTGGAGGGGAAGATGGCGGCAGATGAGTTCCGAACAAACCAGCACTACTGAGGAGAATCACATACTACCAACATACATTCCCCCCGGTTCTGCGCAATAGTGACTGCAGCAGAAAAAGCAACAAATGAATTCACACTTTCAAGTCGTCGGACCCTACTTGTGGAATAGTTTGTCTGAAATTACCGATCACTGCGACATTGCCACTCTATAAATAGCTGAATATCATCCTGAAACGGAGGCTGATCGTCCTCGATCACAAAATAATATTACAGCCGCTGCTCCTTCCTGCTCTGACCATAGGGTAATCAATCCTGAGTCAAAACCTTAACAAGTTGGAACCGCAACCTCACAACAAATAGCAACCTTAAGACAATGTATAACAATATTCGGAAACCAGCATTTATTTCGTCAACATTGTGGATTTTTAGTCTGCAATACGGTGGAGGTACCAATCAATGTTGCACGTCGCTGAGACTTCACACGTCTCTGGTACTAGCTGACACAACCAAGACATGGAAAGTTTTTGATCAGGTTAAAGCTGCTACCCAAAGAGAGTCCAGATAAAACGTTGATCACGCATTTTTGATCAGGCTAAACCTGCTGCTCAAAAGTAGCTACCAAAAGGAGCCCAGATAAAATGTTGATCACGCTATTGCCGGGGAGATAAAGTTGGTCTCAGCACGGCTGTCACGAAGACAAAGCACAAAATCTCGCCAATCACTGCATTACATTACGCACAATACTATTTCTAATACCATGCCTACACACACACATTGTATCATCAGTTTAGAAACTGGCATCAGTTTTTGAGGATTACTGGTAACCTAGGTTGGGTCTACCCATTTGCTATAGGTAGTCGGCCTTTGACCGAGCGGTGGAGTTTGGCGGCAGTACCGCACGACGTATGATCGCGTTTTGATTGAGTAAGATGTCGAGTTTGTCGGCATATCCGCGCGGCGTATTGCCGCGATAATACTAGAGAAAGAGTAGGAGATAGTTGTGTTTGACGGCAGTGTCGGGTGGAGGTGGAGGTGGAGTTAGTGTTGGCGTTTGACGGCAGTACCGCACGGCGTAATGCCGCGCTCAGAATCTGACGGCACCATGTAGGCGTACCGCATCACCGCAAGGGTGTACACATAACGACAGCAGTCCAAAACTGACAAGACATCACGTGCCTGTTCATGCCTACAACCCCAGTAGACGGCGGGGCGCAGCTGACGATGGCGCTGCTGTAGGTCTTGGGGGTGCTGCTGCCCTGCAGGCCCTCGCCGTTGGTGGCCTGTTCGCCTGGTTTGGTGTCGTCAGCCGCGCATGCGGCTGCCCAACGGTGCTACCACTCTCTGGTTGGCTCTTACCCAATCACCCTCGACAAAGTCGTTCAACGCTAGCGTGTTGGGTAAAACGGGTAGGCCGAAGCTTGAAGGTTTGTGGAGAAAGGCAGCTCGGCCAGTGAGGGCCGAGATGAGAAAGTCTTGTATTAGCAGGGAGAGGGCACAGCAGAGAACACTTGTGTCCGAGGACCCGAAGAGAAAAGCAGAACACTCGTCCGTCCCGCAATTCAGATCACTCACCGAATCTCCGAAGAAACCAAGTAGAAACTCCCTGTTTCTCCGCAATCTATCAATTGCAATCTCCGTAGATCCATGTCCCACATTCAACCATCTTTACTATGCTACGAGTATATCAAACATGGGAGGTGATCGATGCCATCAACAACACGCCTGCGGTTGAGGCATTTGACTTCCCCCTGACCGAGGAAGGCTGCATGCGAAACGCCAACAGATTCAAGGTGAGGCCTAGCGGTGGTCAGTTCTGCTGCTGTGAGGGTTATTCTTGGCTTCTTTCGACCAACCGCGCGATATCGTTCTTCTTGTTTTGTACGACTGGCGTTTCCAGCCGTTTTACTTGTGTAGTGAGGCCTACCTATGATACGCAGCCCCCGTCGGTAAAATGCGGGTCCAAGTTCGGGTTGTCGTCGTTGTCAGCATGCTTCGAATCTAAAAACACCCCTCGGGTCCCAGGTGGTTCGCCAGCTTTTGGCGTGCTTTTTCAAATAGGTGTTACTATACTGCCATCGATTGTGTATGCTGGCCATGTTGGTTCGGCCCCGCACCAGCTTTCAGCGAGACAAGAGTGTGGAATCAATGTACTGTAGTCCCCTCCGTGGCACTAAGATGCCCTGGTACCTTATTACCGCTATACCTGACGCGACATTAGGATTCGCAAACAACATCAAGTCTCAGCTTACACGGTATGCGCACCGTTCTTTGCTAGTGATGGCGCCGTCGCCGATGACACCAACCCACACAACGTATCTCTCGACTTAACATGTTGTATCTCCCGGTACTATATTCTCGCCATCGTTTCTGCCGTCTACAAATGAAGGATAAGAGCACCGATCGCGTTTTCTCGTGGGTCGTCGCCGCCGTGGATGGTCTGTTCATGAAGGCCAAGGCTCCGTGTGCGAAAGAGACCGCCAACGTCATCGCGTACTACTCTGGCAGCAAGTCCGCGTACGGCATCAACGTGCAAGCGATGTGCACCGCCGACTACCGGTTCTGCGCAATGTCGGCTATCTCTCCAGGCTCGACGAACGACTGGGTGGCATGGAATCGATCTTCCCTCGCCAAGGCCGTCGCCCGCTTGCTCGCCGGATTTCAAATCGTTGGTGACGCCGCCTCCCCCATCGGAGAAAAGATTCTGCCTCCATACCCTGGGAGGCAACTGCCGGCGGGCGAGGATTAACTTCCATCTGAGCCAGCTTCGTGTCAAGATCGAGTAGAGCTTCGGCATTCTGGTTTCGACTTGGGGCATTCTATGGAGATCTCTCCGCGTGCAGTTCGCAGGACGCGCGGATCTCATCACAGCTCTTTTTCATCTGCACAACTTCCTGCAAGACGAGAAGGTAGCGCCGATCCAGCTTTCAGAGGAGGACTCCCGCAGCGGCATCAATCGGCCGGCCCTCTGTGCTACCCAGCGCACCTTGCCGGATGGCTGGGAACTCTGCCGGCTCCTTCGAGAAGCGGTGGGACCTCGGCCGGAGCGGCTATCCGCAAGGCCCTCGAGTTGAAGAAGCAGTGGAGGCCGGACTACAACCGCCGGAGGAATTCGTAAGGACGTATCGAGCTCTGGCGGTATCGCGTGGCAGGCGCACGAGGGGGGAGTGGGGACGGGTGTACATAGGTGCGAATGGACTCGGATGGGGGGAACGTCGTCACTACAAGCGGGCGAGAGGCGCGGCGGGGGGGGAAGGGGGCGCGGGGAGGGAGGGGGGTGCACGGGGAGGCGATTCTGGCCGTCGTGGGTACACTGAAAGGGCGGGTTAGGGTTTGGGGCTACATAGGCGGATGGCGGCAGAAGTAGGCTCGCTGCCTCGAGGTGACGGGTCTCGTTTGCACGGTAGGACGAGACGCGCGGGACGGGGGTACCTCGTTGGTGGAGGGCGGAGGGCGATGGACGGAAGCGTTTTGGGTGTTTGTGCTAGGGTGTCAGCGCATCCAGGGGAGAGGGTGTGATGTGTGACATGTTGATTCTCGCTGCCATGTTTTGTGGGTGTCGGTGTTCAGCGTTATGGCCATGAGTTTCCGGGTACAGGTGGTTCATAATGTGCCGGTGCGTGGGTCTTGGTTATGTGTGTGTTGGTGCTGGGTTGACATGAATCGTGCGCGGACGAGACCGGGGCACGGTAGGTCTTGGAGGGTGCTTGTTTTGGGTAGTGCATGAAAAGTGTGGGCACGCCTGTTTTTTCCCAATTCGGATCGTATGCGTCGTAACCGTTGTTGTCAATACTGTGTGTGTATTAATTTGGTTGTGCAGGGTTATTGTTATACAAATAATCTCGGTTTGCAGCACGCCAGACGAATCCACGATGGCTTTTGGTATCTATCATACAATGTAAGTTTCGTCGCGTGGGTGAAACATTGCTCCAGGTTGCAAACCTGAAGGGGACGCACACACTGCCACTAAGAATTAGGGTCTTGTCGAGTCCCATTGCCAACACATTCATGCGCTTGGAGTGAGCATGCGCGGAGACGGCGTGAATGGCAGGGCTCCAAAATGGTGGACCCCAAAGCGTGCCGTTACCGCCAACACCCAATGTAGTGTTGGGTTGCAAAAACAAGTCTTGCAAACAGGCAAACACCAAAAGACATGCATGTACGCAGGTTGGATCCGCAGAAACTCGCCCGGGAACCACAACGGTCTCGGTGTTTTTCAAACGTGTTACCCTTGGTACTCCTTTGTTGCCGCAAGGCATCCTCTCAATCGTTGTTGCCAACCAACTCCACACGTCTTTGCGGAGGCGCACGTACCCTCCACGGCGATGCTACGAAAAAACGAAGGCCTTGACTAAACCATGCCCAAACAAAAAAAATACCCCCTCCCCCCCCCCCCCCCCCNTGTAAAACAAGCCATTTCACTTCGTGAACTCGGCAACCAGGTTACCGGTTTTATTTTACCTCTGTTTGTTTTTTATGGCGGCAACCATAATGGTGGTCGAGTAGGTCATGTTGTGCGGGGTCGAGAACCCTCACTCCGCGCAAGGGGGATGATCGCACCACGTTGTGTTAAAATGGTCAAGCACCCTCGAGGCAGTTATGCAGTGCTTACAGCTGTCTCTGGAAGGGAAAGCACCAGAAAATAAATTATGTCATACACAGCTGACATACGTCTGCAAGGAAGTAAGCACAAGATGCCGAACACCCCTAGCAGGATGCAGCGCACCCTTCATGCGACTCGCCGAATATCTCACGGCGCTTCGCGCTTGGTGATGTGAGAGCCTGGTCCAGTGAGAACCCGGCGTGCTCCGTCTCGCCTTTGTAGGGATGCGAGGTCAATGGTCTAACGACTACGGCATGCACGACTATGAGTACACCCCCCCCCCTCCGGTGTTTGCCTATCGGGATTGGGTTTTCGTCGCTTGGCAACGACGTTGTAAAACAAGCCAATTCACTTCGTGAACTCGGCAACCAGGTTACCGTTTTTTTTTTTTTCCTCCGTTTATTTTTTTTGGGCGGTAACCATAATGATGGTTGAGTAGATCATGTTGTGCGGGGTGAACCCTCACTCCGCGCAAGGGGGATGATCGCACCACGTTGTGTTAAAATGGTCAAGCACCCTCGAGGCAGTTACACAGTGCTTACAACTGTCTCTGGAAGTGAAAGCACCAGAAAATAAATTAATTCATACGCAGCTGTCATCCGTACGCAAGGAAGTAAGCACAAGATGCCGAACACCCTTAGCAGGATGCAGCGCACCCTTCATGCGACTCGCCGAATATCTCACGGCGCTTCGCGCTTGGTGATGTGAGAGCCTGGTCCGGTGAGAACCCGGCGTGCTCCGTCCCGGCTTTGTAGGGATGCGAGGTCAATGGTCTAACGACTACGGCATGCACGACTATGAGTACATGAGTACACCCCCCCCTGCCCCNGCGATTTCAACTCCAGAGTAGGGAAAGCTTCCAGTAGAGGACAGGCGATCGGACAGCACGGAGAAAACAAGGTGAATCACAACGGAGTGAGGATGCTTGAAATCTTGGGAAGCAACGAACTGATGGTGTTGAACGGTAGGAGGGAATGCGATA